ATTATTTGATTATAGAGGCAGACAAATTTAGTGATACTGCTTTCTCCACCAAGATGAAAATTCAACAAGGTGACCATCCCTTTCTTTTCTTCCTCTTACCACCAAAACTCAGTTTTACAAAAACTGAAGTCCATCAAAACATCTTAAAATAATGTTCAAGAGAACATTATAAAGATATAACATTGTAAAGATACAGCTTTTATTTCTAAAATCTAGTACCAACAGAAAATTTCAAGGCACAACTGTAAAGGTTGCCGCACTTTATAACTGCACTTCAAAAGTGCATTTCATTTTACAATAAATTGATTTTCAGATCAGAAAAAAAACAGCCAGTACTCTAACTCTGGTATTAAAGTGCCAAATCCATAACTCTAAGAACAATTTCATTATTGGATATATTATATAACACAGTACAAAGTTTACTGCTGTTTCAAGTAATTACTTTCACATTTTCACTGAAAGTAACTAAACCTATGTGGACAACATTCGTTTTTCCTGATATAATTAAAAGTTTTAGCCACTTATTCTGCTGAGACTCCTGGCCGTGTTGAGTAATCTTCTCACAATCCACCCAAGCTAACACACAATGTGCTATTGTTTAAGGAGAATGGCCAACAATGGCTTTCAATGTCTTAACTCAGGTGATGGAAAGGAATGAGAAGGGAGGCTGTGAAGAGAGAGGTCTACAATATTTACTTTTGTGAGGTTCAAACTGTGTCCTGAGAACGTATTCCAAAAACCAAAGTTTCTCAAAACAAAATTAAGATGTGATGAATGGTTCCAGCTGCAGTAGTTCAGAAGTACACTTGATTCTTTTCTGGACCCTAAGCAAACCCCAGCTACACTACAAAAAAACCTCCAAGACATACTTCAAGAATTTTGATGAAACACATGCTGACCAGCTAGTGGTATGGGTTTTCCACTTTTTCAGTCTTGAATATGCTGGTGCAATCAGAGGTACAATGTGTACCTCTTACCTGTGGCCAATGACTGCTCTGTCCATGGATCTTTCTTTGAAAATAGCAAGCCTTGGGGGTGATCTGAGAAGCTACATCTTCTGTCAGTGAAATACAAGAACTGGAAGCAGGGAAGAAACCCACGCTTAAGAAAACAGCTTTTCTGAGACCACACATGGATCTAAATCTTTAAGGACCTCTAGTCAAGAAAAGAAGAATCCTGATAGATCCTTTCTAAAGATGAAAGGATCCCACTGTTCTTAGAGAAGATCAAGAAAAACAGCTAATTAAACTTAAGAAAAAGATCTACCTAAGCAGGTCCCATTTGCCAGTCCTTTAGCATCCATTCAGCTGCCATCACTTCTGGAGATGGATTGATGGATATGCTGATAGATGAGCAGATTCAGAAGCTAGAAGGAATTCCCTGTCTCCCTGTAGACCTTGCTGTGCTGCACATGGAGTTCGCAAATCCTATCAAGACATTTGTCATTGATGCAAAAGAAACTCAGTTTGCTCTTTCATTTATTCTAATGAGGTCTTCATTCCTATGAGTACATTTGTTGCTATAGTTGCAGAGATGACTGAATAAACATAGAAAAAAGATCTTTTGAGCAAAGCAACACTATTCTTAATAAGTCCTTAAGCAGAGCAATGCTTCAAAACAATAGTCTGTTCTGATCACATATAATGAAAAATTCTTTCACGAAGTTGTGATTAATATGAAGACATAATCTCTGTTTCATTATACTAAGGAAATGTTACAGGAATCACACTCATCAAGTTCACAGAAGGAATAAAACAAAAAGTGTATTTTTGAGGTAAATAAGAGCAACAATAATTCTTAGTCTAAATAGTATTCTTTTGAGAATATATTTTTAAGAACTATTCTTTTGAGCAGATACAGATATGAAATATACTTTGAATCTATAATGATTCTCCTTAAACGTTTACCCATCTTGCCTTAGATAAAACACCACATCAATACTGGTAGTACTACCTAAAACTCCTTATAGTTATCATAGGCCACGCAAACAATTCTTAAATATTGACATAAAACTTCTTACTTATTGAAAACAATGATCAAATTTAAAGCTTCATTAGAGGTTTTCTGTTGTAACAGTAGATAATGAACATATTTCACTTGATCACGGTGACTTCAAATGAGGACAAAGATTGTTTAAAACCTATAAAGTACATTGTAAAAAATGAAAATTTTTAAACCTATGGTTATTTCAAACCCAAAATGTAGAAAGCTTGAGTCTGTCCTGATTGCCACTTAAAAAAAAAAACCCTCCCAAAAATAAAATAAAAAAAACCCAACACCACAAAAAACTCACATCAAACCCAAATAGATCAAAAGCATATAGATATTCTTATTTCAAAGATGTTTTTAAGGTGGTGATAACAGGTTAGGGTGAGAATTTGATAGCCATGTTTCACACTTTCAGATGCCCTGCTCTCTCAAACTGTGTAAGTCACCACTGTATCTGTTCCGAAGGTTTATTCATCGCTCATAAAAAAGCAGCAAAATTCTGAGGAAAAGGAACCCTCAGATAAAAAAAACCATGCCATATAACTATAGCGTAAACCAGTCATTGACTTTTACTCCCTCTGAGGGAAAAGTTAACTGAAAAAAAGAGGCCTAGTCTCTCACAGGCTGAGAGAGTTGGGGTTGTTCAGCCTGGAGAAGAGAAGGCTCCAGGAAGACTTATTGCAGCTTTCCAATACCTAAAGGGGGCCTACGAGAAAACTGGAGAGGGACTTTTTTTACAAGGGTATGTACTGAAAGGACAAGGGGCAATAGCTTTAATTGAAAGAGGGGAGATTTCAATGAGATTTAAGGAAAAAACTTATCACTCTGAGGGTGGTGAGGCACTGGAACAGGTTGCCCAAAGAAGCTGTGGATGCCCCATTCCTGGAAGTGTTTAAGGCCAGGCTGGATGAGGTGTTGAGCAACCCGATCTAGTGGAAGGTGTCCTTGTCCATGGCAGGGGGGTTGGAAGGGACCTTAAAGATTACCTAGTTCCAACCCAAACCATTCTATTATTCTACGATTCTCTGAAAAAATAATCTTTCAAAACATATTGTTTGATAAAACCCAGGATATTACTCTTACTTTGTTTTCCTATCAATTTAATCTAATACATGTGAAGACTAGATAAATCATAAATGTTTGAAATTACTAAAATAAGAGAAGAATAACAGTGGCTATTTGCTCTGCACTGCCAGTAACTCTACCCTTCCTGCTCTCTGTGTTTATTCCTGTATTCAGGAGTTGGAGATTATTCTTCACAAAAATGAAGGAAATTGGCCAGAAAACTGCTTTATTCCATAATTTGCAAGTTAATCAAACCTGGTGGCAAAGACAAGGACAAAATAAAGAATACTGTCAAAGCATTAGCATCAAAAGCAATTGTAAGTCTATTATGAAACGAATTCTAGCCATGTGTAATTTTTTTCCCTCACCAACATATTTAATGCTTCTGCTGGGTAGTAAGACAATCAATGTCTTAAAAAGTTTACCCTCAGAGCTTTGAGAAGGCAGAGAAAGACCAGTAAATACCATAATTTCATTGACTTTAAAAAGTGCCACAGTCAGAATTGCTGAAATGCAGCACACTTGAAAAGCACACAGACAATTCAAAAGTCTTCTTTAGACAGGAAAAAGAAAGCCATTGAGCATAATTTTAATCTCCTAGGTTTTGGGAAGCAGAGGATCATTTCAGTAGTCATGTGTTGGCAATTAGATTTAACTAGCATGAGATTTGTTTACAGATGTGTTTTACCTAGAAATTTTTCAAGGAATGCTTCCAACTATGTTCTTCCTGGGATTTTTAAACGAGATTAAACAACCTGGAACTTGAGAACACTTGGGGAAACTACGAATTTATGTAAGAAACCTATTTTTAAGATGTGTTCCTTTTGTTCTAGTTTCTTTTAATTTCAAGCTTAAAACTATGTGTCCTAGACAAACAGCCTCTTTCCCCTCATTAAAAATTTACTTCAAATTTGTGATGTTGATCTTAAATGGATAATCCAAAAACGCAACACCACAAATACAGAGAAGTGATCGAAACATTTATAGTGCATTAACCACACAAACTTCTCATAGAATTGTTCGGGACTTAAACTTTCCGAAGACTGCTACTCTCTGCCAGGTTTTTTTGAAAGTCCAGCTTCCACCTTGTCTCTTTATTTACTTTTAAGCCACTCTCGGTTAGCCAAAATACCATTACTGCTCTTCCTGGGGCAAGATTCATTACCTGCTACAGGCTCAAAGAAATGACAAAAGAAAACAGAAGCCGACAATTTGATGTTCATTGCTCTGTGTTGATGAGACACAGGACTACTTCTAACAGCAGTGCTGCGAAAAACAGTTTCCTCTAGAACGTATCATCCAGGAGACATTTAATTCACAGAAGAGAATAGAAGTAGTTTATGGAATGTTAGGGTATGTCTATACTGAAGAAAAGAGTGCACAATGAAAGATGGGAACTCATGTATGTATTTGCAAATCATATGCATTGCTTCAGAAGACCTAAGGCAGTATTTTAAAAAGTAAAATGTGGAGACATTAACTAGAAAGAGCGCTTAGTAGACACTGCTGAACATGAAGTGGGAGTTCAGGCACAACTCATGATTCTTATACTATGGTCAAATGGGGACTGGAAGTAAAAAGAACACTATACTCTTACCTACAAAGGAGGATAGCGTAAACATAGTTCTCAGACATTCCCTTCAGCTCAGAGACATTTCAAACATAAAGATATTAACTTCTATGTCATCGTTCAACATCATGAAGGTAAAGAATTAGGTTTTGCCAAAGTATGGGTTTTAAATATGAGAAAATTGTAAAGGAATAGGTAGCCTAAAACTACTTTTCAGAGTATCCCAAACTGCCCATTGCCCCCTAAGCATTGCTGAACACTCGGTTAGCAGAGGAACTTGCTGGAAGCTCAGAAAGCTGAAGGAAAACCTAACCTATACCCAACACTGTTTTGCTGCCTTCCACGCCACAACATACGCAATTGAAATCAAGTTTACCTTTCTTGAAGTGTAGATGTCAAAAAACGGTTTGTTTCGAACGCTGAAAGGTTCCTGTGCTTTGTCTATAAGACCATTCTTCATCTTTTCATGTCGTGGAAATATAATCTCTTTCTCTATACATGCAAGTCGAACATTAAAATCACAGTCTCCAACAGGCTGTCCCTGCCAAGTTACAAAAATCAATATTAAAACCAAACAGTTAACCAAATTTTCCTTAGACAATACTTAGAATCATACAGATACATATAAATACTACCAAATCACTATATGTTTTTGCCAAATACTTGGTTTCTAAGCATTTGTCTGAGGCTCTAAGAGGTTTAATCAAATCAAAGTTCATAGAAAGGTAAAAAACTGCAATACGTATTCAAGCACATGTAAGTTAAACACCTAAATACCTTTAAAGTTCAGCAAAATAATTTAAATATTCCCTAACTATAGCTTTGAATATAGCAGCTACATACTTTTCCACACGTTTTTCCTCTGAAGTCAATTAGCTCATGTTGTTCATAATACTTTCAATGACAATACAATGACACAATTTGCACAGTTAAGCAAACTCTTTGCTTTAAATGTACTATATCAATGCCCTGAAAGAAGCATTAATTACGTAAGTGTTCCTTTTTCTGTCACAGAAAAGAAAAATACAGCTGCAGTTGCAAAATGTGCCAATAAACAGTGGCTGCAAAACTTGCAAGATACCTGATGGCTCAGTCACAAAAAGGTAGTAAAAGCTCTTCTCTAAGTCTCAGCAGTGTACTCTTACCTTTCAAGACCTGAAATAAAACAGTAACTTTACATTGCTCTTCATGCATTTGGTGCATTGCACCAGATCAGTATGAGTGTTCAAAACGTGAATTTGTCAGATTAATAATTGCTTGTAAGGGAGTTTATTGTATTTTGAGCATTAGATAGTGAGGAAAACACATTGTGGATATCACTAAGAGAAAATACCAATAAGGCACAAAACTCATAGATGTGCATTGTTACAAGCACGATACAGCACTCGAAGTTATTTACATGAGATCATCCCTCATTTTGCCACTCGATTCATACAAAAAAAAAAAATTAAAAAAATCTCTACCATGGTCCACAGAGAATAAGCTTGCAGAGCTTTGGCTTCAAAACCAGAAATTTTCAAAAGCTGAAAGCAATGAGCACAGGAAACTGAGAAGATGTGGGACTCTAATCATCAATGATAGCGGTACAGATGAGCAGGAGAACCAGAAACAGATATTTCCTGTACTAAACACAGCTAGAAGATAAATGGAAAGACAATCTAAAAGGAAAAAAGGCCCGCTCTAACATACATCAAAGAGAATCAGAACTGGTCAATCTGAAGGAATGCAAAGGAAATATATAGCAAAATGACATTCTGATGACGCATACAAAGGTAAGAGAATGAGTAGTATCTGAACAGACATCTTAAGCAGGAGAAAAACGGAATGCCAATTTATAGACCAACATGAGTTTAATCGAGTTCTTTCCAAACTCATCCTGGCTTTCACCAGAATCTTCTGCATTTCATGCTCCCAAAGGGCTATTAAGTTTCTCTTAACATTTATTTCCTAGTTTTAGATCTTTACTAGATCTCTATCAAAAGTCCTCAACTGTTCATTGTAACAGCTTTAAGAACTATGCATTGCTCCCATACCACCTGTAATTCACAACCACCTTCTTACAGGACTCAGCTTCCATCCATACAAGGAGTGGCAGCACAGTCATCATCACTTGGGAGGGAAGCACATTCTACACAAAAACAGCGACAACATGAGGGAAATATCTCCCAATATCTGGTCCCTGATCCATGCTTGTGAAGAAGAAAAAAGCCTATCTGGCTGTTAACTTTGCCTTCACCATTGCTTTCCTTTCATAGATGGAGGTGTTATTAGTAAAAAGCCATTCAAATGAATGCAAAATTAGAGTATGGGAAAACCTGAAAGGCAAACTGACAATTGAAGAATTCTTTCCTAGGAAATGTGTATACGCATTTTTTTATTATTTCAAAGAACACCATAAGCTGTTCTCTAGGTAAGTTTCAGCAAGATCTAGTGCACATACCCTCTTCCCTACAGTAGTCTTTCCACTCAGCCACATTTTATGAGTAGGTCTGAAAGAGCAAATGAACTAATTAATATTTCAAATATTTGAGCTTCCAATAAGCAGTAAAGTTAGAGACGTTCTTTACAATGATTCATTCAAAAATGCTTTCGTATAGTGACTTAAATTTATTTCAATCCCTTAATAGTTAAATTAAAAGCTAAGATTACTTCATACGCACCATAAACCAGCTGAATCACTTTCCTTTAAATAATCCTTTCACTTCTCACATCTACTTGGAACTAATTATTTCCTGCAGCTCTGCCAATCCTATATTTTTATTTCAAAGCTTGTTAAGCAGAAGGGTATATTACCACTAGGCTCCATCATATAAAAGGTCAGAGCTAGGCTAACGTAAGATTACATGAGATGGGAAAACACAGCTAATGCTGCCGAGCAACTTCTTCATCAGCCAAGTAAACTAATAAGTTAAGGAATATTTCATTCTCCGAAAAGCATAGGACAATAGGAAAATTAACGTAACATTGAATTTAAATCAAGGATGTATTGAATAAAAGCAATATTGGAGGAGGAGGGCTTTTCCTTTGTTATTAGATATTTGCAGTAATTATAAAAAATGTTGCTAATATGCAAAGTATTTATCCCAGACAGATCCAAAACCTTCGAGCAGTAAAATCCTAGCTTTCAGCAAATAAGTAGCAGGGTAATGTAGGCTGCAATAAAGAATTCACAGACCTAGACAAAAACAGGAAGATATTACTTAGAATAATTCCTGTTCTAGACATTTTTAACCTAAAATAAGTTTGTTAGCAAAGGGTAAAACAAAAATAACAAATGGCCTGTGTTTCCTACCTATGCTAGAAAGTTAGGCTTCTCCTTCACAGTAATTCAAATGTATCCTGAAGGAAAACATCATTTAGATAAGCCTCAAGAGAGGAGTCACCTATTGAATCAATTCCTCTTCCTCGAGCAGCTGAATTCCGTTCACCTGGTGAAACTGTGCACTGCACTAAGAGGTCACAGCATGAAGCTTGAAATAGACGTCACACTTTAAAATATTGTTTTGATTTTAAACACAATGCTCCATACATCCTCAAAACTTAAAATGAGATTTCTGCAGAGCTTTGAAATCCACCCAGGACTGAACATTTCTAAATTTAAATTTACAATATTTCAAATTAACTTGCCAAAAGAACCTATACACAATATGTCACATAAGAACCTAGTGTATCACAAAAGAAATATATGTTTAAAAATACTAAAAAACAAGGTCTGCAGCTCATTTAATATCCATTATCTTCAGAGGGCGGGTGAAGGCAATTTATTTGCTGCAAGGAGCAAAAAATTAAAAAAAAAAAATACAAAAAAAAAAACCAGTCCCAGTAACATTCCTCCAGATGGGTGCTGAGAGACCAAATTTGATCAAGCATCAGGCTGTTCCTCTGGTGTAGCTCCTGCCCTCGACTCAGTTCACAGAGATCTCCATGTTGAAGTCACAACCTCATGCCAATATAGCCTCATGCTTTCTTCACAAGGGTTGGTGAAGAACTCAAATCCCAGGCCATCAAATACAGGAAGATGGCAGGAATCACTGAGACGGGTGTAAGAGGATAACGGGATTTGTGCCGCACACTCTGCCTCAGTCCCCTCTCTCTCCACAGGAAGAAAAGCACCTCTGAGGAGGTACCATCACCGTCCAGGTTTAAGTCTCCCATCCCCTGCCTTTAAGGTTGACCTTGTGGCTACAGCTCAGTAAATTCGATAATCCTTACATGGAAAGTCCTAGATGGATGCAGTACAGATAACAAAGCGAGGTATGTAGGTGCTAAATCTCATTAAAGTACTTTCTCTTAGAATTTTGTATTTATCTGGCTTTTTCCCAGTGCAGCTGTAGTAAAAAGAAAAATAATGGGCCTGTGTACACAGCTGATAACTAGCTTTGGCCAGGATAAACCGAGAATATTTATTCTCTTCCTCCATGAGATATGGTTCGAAGCCTACCTGCCAGCAAAGCACGCTCCATTTGCTTCCCCAGAGCAGTAACCTAAACATGAATAATTCAGCGCATACATGCATATATGTTCCACGCACGTCTTCACTTATTGAGCCATAGCGGAACATATGTCAGAACTGTCTTAGCTTTAACGATTTTGAGAGAAGAATAAGGAGCAAGCTCAGGCTGATACTCTACCCGGTGTTTAACGTTATTATTGACAATTCAAGGCACCCACAGCTGACATCTGCATTTCCAACGAAAGCCCATTATTAGTTCTCCCATCTTCTGAAGACCATGCAGTCTAGTATTTTGCATTTTATATTAATGGTCTGGCATATATTTCTTCTGACTGTGGTTTTACAGATGCTGCTTTTTTTTGATACACGTAGCTTTTATACAAAACAATCTGAACGTGCTGTTTCATTCTCCAAATAAGATTATTACTATATTCAATCACCTAAAAGGTTTCTTCCCTTTCCGATGAAGTTTTCTTTTTAAAACAGGATTAAAAGTAAAGCATTGGAGAAATTAAAAATTTTGTAAATTATGACTCTCAAGATTTTAATTTCTGAAAGGCAAAAGGTAAGACAACCATTAAAATCTGAAAATAGAGTTTAAAATTTGTTTTTTTCTATCTTTTATCACTCAAATAAACAGATATGGTAATTTAGCAGTTTCAAAATGGTTTCTAAAATTTATCTTGGCATCAATGAGGTACAGCATGTGAAATATTGTTTCAATTGTAACAATTCGACCAACATGCTGCAGGAACATAATTACTATTTATATGTTGTCAGCTTATACAATGGAATAGAGTTTTGATTTACCACAGAACAAAAATGGTTTGGAGAATCAAACCTATTAAAAAGATTGCTTAAGACGTGTATTAAATTATTTGTATTTTCTTTTTAAAAAAATAAAATAACTTAAAATAAATTCAAATATGTATGAATCAATAAAGGAAAAAAGTTTGTAGCCAGTGCATAAACATCAAGTCCTAAAAGAACATACAAATATAGCTCAACTTTTTTTTTTTTATTAGTAAACATAACTTGAATGAAACAGCTGGACTGTCAAAACAGTGACTAAACAGATAAGATCAAAA